CATTTGCTGTCATGTTAAGCTTATATTAAAGTTTTTCTTCATTACCCATTTAAGCCGTCTCCAGCCATTATTAATTATAGGAAGTTTTTAGGATTAATTAGAATAGAAATTCACAATTTTACTAAATTCATTTAAAAGGTTAAAATGCATTAGAATTCTGTCTGTTTAAATTCATTTACTAATAACAACAGGGGTAACAGTGTAGTAACTACAGGTTGCACTTAATGTTGTTGATTGTTGTGTATGTGCATTATTGTAAAAACAAGTAATTTTTGTAATTTTATACACAATTTAAATGTATTTTTATTCTTGGCATTAATTACTTAGTAATGATGCACAACGAATTTGCACTCATTATATCATTTTAGTGTTCTGATTCTTTATATGGGTTATATAGATGAACATCGACATCATAAGTACAGAAGGTTAAGTATGTTATATCTAAATTTAAAGTTGCCAGATGCAACACCTATGGATTTCTGTGAGGTCAACTACTTTAAATATGTGCTGGGAATCTGTTGTCCTTGTACTGTAGATGTATTATAGAAACAGTGCAGGGAGGAGTGGTGTGCTCTGTATGTGACATCATTTCACACCTAACAAAACTATGAATGCTTAAGTCCAACACTAGTCTTAACCATTGTATTTGTAGCCTGGAAATATATAATCAATACTAAATGTAAATACCAGTAGCCTATTGCCAACACTGTTATTGTTAACCTAATGTTTTAGAATCAAATATATTAGTTTATCACTACTTTATGTTCAAACTAAATTAATTAAGGGTATCTTTAGTTTTATAGCAGTGACAACTAAGTAATGTTTACTTTATTTGATGTTTATGTAATATTAATAGTAATAATACAACATATTTAGTCTGATTTATAATCTACCTATAAACTGAATTTAAACTAATGGATCTAAAATACTCAAGTAAACAATATAATCCTTAAAACATGAAGAGACATTTAACTAGTATTTAGATCATATTTGTTTAATAAAACAATGTACTTAACCTGTTCTAAAATTTATCAGTAAGATGAATTACAGCTAAGCCTGAAAGTACAATTACACATCCTAAACCTAATCTAATGTAGTAGTAGAGATTATGTCACTAAGCTCTTATTTAAAATTTTAACCCTACTATTTCTATTTACCAATCTTACTAAATCTAGTTAATCTTTTGTTATTCAACCCAAACTATTACAAATGATAATATTAATATTAAATAATATTCAAAAATCTATAACAGTATAACAGCTGATCTTTCCAATGTCTTCTCTCTTCTGTAGAGTGCCCTCTAAGATGCGGTGTGGATTCAAAATCATTTTGATATAATGTACTCCACCTCTATATATATTAGATCTAAGTATTTTATAGTCCTATAATGCTTAGGAGTATTTTGAGTTTTCTCCAACTGTGGGCTGGGGCATGGCCTACTAGCCTTGAAAGTCAGTCTGAGGATTCATGGTTTGAATTCCATTGCCACAAAAGCACATTGCATTTTGGGTGAGCTGTGACAGTGATGGTCAAATGCCACTCTTTGATTAGAGAAGTGTGTTTCGAGTATTGGCAGTGGGTGCTGTGACAAGCTGTCTTCCCTCTAGTTTATCAGTTCAAAATTAGAAATGCTTATATGCACAAAAATTCTAAAATACAACAGCATCAGCTCTTTAACTGTTATACTCTTTTTTCTTTCTTTCAGAATGTTCGTGATAGTGTTCTTAGAATGGAAGAAAAAGACACATTGATTCAGATACAGAATAAAAATCATAAAAAACTTTTGGATGAATTGGAGAATATGGTGGTAAGTATATTTAGAACAAAATTTCTGATGAAAATCGTTAAAGATCACAGAGATAGTCTAGTTCCATCATACTGTAGATATTTCCTTATAGTACACCAGTTAAAAAAGACATCATGAAAAACAAAGGTATCAATTTATCTTAACATTATTGTGATGAGATACTTTAAGCTTTAACTTCTTTGCATAAAGCTTAAAGTAGCTTTACAAACTAACATTAAATTCATATACATCACAAGTGTACAAGTGCTGGAATAAATGAAAATTGTTAGTCCAGATATTGCTCTTGATGGGTTATTGGAAGACTTTAAAGAATCAAAAGTTTTGTTCATTGTGAACTCTATTCACATTCCTGAAAAGACTATCGTTTATACCATTGTTACAAACTGTTGATATGTGATTTTAATTGTTGGATGTGTGTCCAAATTCCAGTAGTTTTATTGTACATATGCAGAAATCTATTCACATTCCTGAAAAGACTATAGTTTATAGCAGTGTTTCTCAAACTTTCTGAAACGGTGGACCGGTTACGTATCTTTTGATCACCCCTTGGACCGGTGATGAAAACCAAATATATCGTTCACTTTTTTGATAAGAAATGCATAATTATTCTATCATATGATTTTTTAAAAAATATATACGTACATACATCATTATGAAAGGATTGCTTTAATAAATGTAGAATTTACGTCAATATAAGAATCATTAGATTGTTGTCCGTGTGAAAAGAAAGTTTATTTTTTGTTTGTCAATTTATCAAGTCTTGGCTCGATGGAAGACAGTGCAACACGCAATGGGGCTCGAATGTCCAAATGGTTTCTGTACGTAGTCTTTATGACACTCATTGTTGAGAAAGCAGTCTCACACAGATATGTTGATGGAAATTGGAGAAGTATTTTGGTAGCGATTCCAGCCAGTTCAGGATTCTCCGCTCTAGCTTTGATCCAAAAGCAAGCCAAGGATTCTGCAGATTCGAAAAGGATTTTCATGCTACCGTTGGCAGCAAGCTCCAGCAATTGATTCTCCAATTCAACCGACAATCGGTGTTCCGATGTTAAAAAAGGGTTTCTAGTCCATCCATTACGTTTTTGAGGGTCTTCCTCTGACGGAAAGTACATCTCAAAGCGCTCCAGTAGAGCCGTCAAAATCTCACTGATCTTGGCTCTCAATACAGACATCTCAAGTCCCGATTCTGTTTCAGTTATTGTTGCTGACAGTTTGTAAAACATATTAAAGCAATCTTTCGACACGCGAGATTTCCACACATCCAGCTTGCGTTTCATTCCATCAATCTTGTCTGCTATCGTGAAGCACGAAGCCATTTTTCCCTGCATGGAGACGTTGAAGGTATTCAAGATGTCAAAAATATCCGCCATGTACACCAGCTTTGCAACTCATTCAGAATTTCGGAATAGTTCTGACCAATGTGGTTTCTTGAACTGGAGGAAGTTGGCGAGCTCATGTCGTAGTTCAAACACTCGAGAGAGAACTTTGCCTCTGGACAACCAGCATATATCAGCATGCAGTATGAGTTGTGTGTGCTCAGCACCCGCATCTTCACATAATGCTGCAAATAACCTTGAATTTAGTGTGTTGGCCTTCACATGATTCACAATTATCACAACCTCACTCAGAATTGAGTTTAATTTGGGTGACATTTTCTTAATGGCTAGATTTTCCTCTGTGAATTATACAGTGTGTTGATTTACAATCCGGGGCCATTGCTTTAATCTGGGCTATCACGCGGGAATGACGTCCTATCATCGCCACAGCTCCATCTGTACAGATGCCGACACAATTTTGGAAATTCAAATCAAATTTTTGAACTATGTAGTCGCTCAAACTCTTGAACAATTCTGTACTAGTTGTGCTAGTTGGTAACGAATCAGAAAAAGTACTCCTCCTTCAAATCTCCTTTGTATTCATAACGCACAAACACCATAAGAATCGCCTTATTTGCAATATCAGTACTTTCATCGAGCTGTAACGAATAATACTTTGACGATTTAACTTGTGTTATGAGCTGATCTTCCATATCTTCTGCCAAATTGTGGATGCGACGTGCAATAGTGTCGTTTGACATTGGAACTTGGGATACATACTGTGCCACTGCCTCACCCAGCATTTTTTGACATACGTCTTTAATACAGCCTATCACGAGTGTCTCCCCAACTGTAAACGGCTTTCTTGCCTTGGCAATACGAAGAGCAGGCTTATATAAAGCGCACAGCGCACAGGCAGTTACGCGTGTCAAATTGAGCAGTTGTTTCTGGGATGATTTCAAATTATCATACTTCCTTTCAAATAATTCTTGCAGTTTTGAAACCAATTCGCCATGTTTGGCATTTTGATGCCTCTTCAATTTCGAGGGTTTCATGGCGTCATTGCTCAAGATTTCACCACAAATCACACACTGTGGTTTTTTCACTCCATTTTCATCCATGGCACAAAATCCAAACTGAATGTATGAGCAGTCATATTTTCGAGTGTAGCTAATTCGA